TGGACGTGACTGGACTCCTTTAAACCACCATACCAAGATAGGCCCTTCCTTCCATATGAAAAAAGGCTATTCGAAGCCTTTGGTCATTGAGTGTTTTGTAATACTCAGTTTTACCTTTTGAATTCATTTATCGGGATCAGTACCATCAAATTTAAAAAAATTCAACCTTAAGGACCTAGCTTGAATTCTCCCATTTCCCTCAAGTAATGGAATGTTACTAACCTTAGAGTTGGAAGAACCTTCCTTAGAATTGTGATGTGCTGCTAAAGTCTCATACCTAGATGTCAGATTATTGATCTGTTTGAGTATTGCGGCTAACATCTCTTTCTGATGCTCTTGTTCTTCACGCAGGTAGGTGTTCTCTCCTTTCAGTGCTGCCAAAGCTTCAGTGATTTACGCATGCCTAGTACCCTCAACCATTGTCTCAAAACCAAGGCTCTGATACCACTATAATACCTATAAAATTACGTAATCAAAGTGACTAAATTGTTTATGGTAATTCGAGGTTACCAGGCCTCCTTTTGATATTCTGTAAATTGAATAAATGCTTCCCCTCCTTTTGATTGAATAGTCACAAACATAAATAGGCCGGGTGATAATTGACCACTACGCGACGGGGGCATTGCTCAGTAAATACGGACTAAAACAATTGATTCAAACAAACTACAGGGACTCAATAACTACCCACTAGCCTTTCGGCCCACTGACAAGGACTCAATCAACGAAATAAAAAGCAAAGTAAAATGACACAACTTTAGCACCATTAGAAAAACATCGAAAAACAAGGGTCTGGATCCCTCGCACATAAAATGAGCGCGTAGGAAACAAAAAAAAACAAAGACATAAAGATAGGATTTCTTGTTGAATCAAGGTAGAGTTTTCTTTTCCTTTCTGATCATGGAAGCTAGGGCTAGATACATGTAAATTTTGACTCGTACTAGTATAAATATTATGGATATGCGATGGTTTTTGATTTTCTTGAAAAAGTATGATGCAATCTTGTTGAAAAATATCTAATTTACATTCCCCGTGCATTTTGAGTTCACAAACTCTAGATCTTTGAATGATAAATAATCGAGTGTTTATTTACGATCTCATAATTTCATTATTCTCTTACTTATTTATGACTACCAAAATATCGTTTGATTCATTACTTGATTTGATTTTCTAAATTATTGGTTTGATGAACTTGAATATACCCGACCTATAATATAGTGTGTAGACGAATTTTTTTCCCTTGAGGGGTATCAAGATTTTCTACCATTCTTAGTAGATGTGTTTGGCTCCTTTTGGGTTCTAAGGGTTCCCACTATTTGTTCATGTGGACTGAGGCAGAGGTTTAATAAACGACTTTCATTTCTTGCGGGTTTCCTACTACTAGGGAGAATTAATTAGATATTGATGCATTAATATCGATTTTTCCTAAAGTCCTCCGGGAGATTGATATGATTTGCGATTTTGATGTTGGGGAACATATACATTTCGTAATTCTTGCTAATCAAACATTTTACTTTGTTTACTATATTCTTCAATTATCCTACTGTATACATAATAAATTTATGACATCTTTATGAATTAAAATTTTTTATTCAAAAGTCATATATTTACTTTGGAAATTGTGGCCTATCTATTTTTCCTGATTTTTCTAAACCTCGTTTAGGATGGAATTTTTTTTTTCTACCAAGCTAGTTGTGTTCATCTTTTGATTTAATATTTTTTAGATTTGAGTTTGGAGCTAGAGACAGGTCTAAGTGAGGACCCAGAGTTGGATTTGAAAAAGGATCAATATTTCAATCCGGAAGTTTATGTTTGAAGAACGTCTATTTAGTTTCATTTCAGAATTTTTTAATGTTTAGCTAAGATTCATGAATTTTTAGATTTGAGTTAGTTAGGTGACAATATCATTGTTTAGGATTTGTGGTTGTAACTTTTTGTTAGATTGTGTATTGTAATTGGCTAAATTCGTGAAATTTATGTAAATCTCAATCAAATACCATAGTCATCAAGCTTCAAAGATCAAGATCTAAAAGCAAGAAAGGAAGGGAAGGAGATCAAGCTACATCAAAATCACTCTGATGCACCATTAAGTTTGGAACAAAGGTAATAACCTTAGAAACCTAGATCATCTTATTTAATTTTAAATTTATAATGATTAAGGTGAATAAAATAGAATTTGAAATATCCAAAAATGACTCATAAGGTTTTTCTTTCAATTGGTCTTAAAAATTTATTGTAATTACCCTAATTCCTAAAGGGTATATGGGATAAACTATAATATATTTAAATTTCAATAATCACGAACAATCAACACATCCTTTTGTTTATCCTTCGAGTACATTCATTTTTATGTGTTTTATCTTCCTTATTTGTCGTGTCTTGTGTCACACATACATGTATTCCCCTTTTGAAGGTCATAATATGTATAGCTTTATTTGCTTAAGTAAGTTAAGGAATATACAAAGCTTTCCACTATGTTGTTGACACTAATTCTAATTTATTGTATGAAACTTTCATCATGCATGGCCCCATAGGCAGAGAGAGAGAGAGAGAGAGAGAGAGGAAAAAGGATTAGAGTAATGGTGCAAAGAGACTAGATTTGTACTAACCCACCTTAATGAAAATCCCCACAAGCCAAAAGCATTACCAAAAGCAGAAGATAATGGATGAAAGAGAAGATTGTCCTTCATTCATGAATGTTCCCCTCTGTGATTGTCCTGATCTTCATTTTTTTAACTCCTATTCAATCAATTTCATTCTGTTATTTTTTATTATTTAAATAATGTCAATTTAAAATGCAGTTAAAAGGAGAGAGAATATTTAACTCTTAAATCCATTTCATTCACTTATTTTATTATTATCTAATTAAAAGGGCAGTTAGATTAGAGGAAACATTGTCTCAATCATTTGTATGGTAATCAGCATGGATGTCTGAGTGTCTATTTATATTTTAACATTAGTTTCTTTCTTGTTTTCTTTGAAACAAAGGTCGAACATGGACATGATCATCACTAAGATTTTCTTATTTTAGGTCTTTAGAAAATCTTCTACATTATTCGGGATAGGTCTGATAATTTAGGCACGATTAACAAATCTAATTCAAAATTGTCAAAAAAATTCATAAATTTAAATTTAGTTTTAAGCGAGTGCGGGTGATGAACGGATGAACCTCTTAAGTAGGTTCATTAAATAAATGAATTGTCATTAACCCGACTAACCACGACACATACTCAGTAAAAATGGGTTATACATTGCATGAACTATGAATTAGGTCAACAAATAAATCTAAATAATATTATTGCTAATCTATAGAAGTATCACTTACAAAGAAGAATCATTGATCTACTCTCTGTCGCTCTCTTTTGGTTAGACATGATTATAGGGTGGGAGATGACAAGGTCCGAATTCATAACTTTAATGTCCAACAGGAGAATGATAATTATTAAACTAACAGCTAATCTCTCATTCATCTACTTTGACTGATCGGAAGAAGAAATGATGGGTGTGCCACCAATGACTCTGATGAAGCCTAAAGAATGTTCTGATCAACAGTTATAAAAAAGAAAAAGTGTTCATCTTAAGATGATAAGAATGCTACCTCATTCAATATAATCATGACAATAGAGATAGACTACATAGCATAAGAGCCGTCTTTAGTTCGACTACGTATGTGCCATTCAATCATGACAATATGCAGAATATATAGGAGTCGTTTAGAAGTAGTGTCAGTATCATTCAAAATGGTAATGATTATATGTTTGGATCAACTCTGCAAACAATTGTTAAAATGAGTTTGTCTTTAAATCATTTGTTTGAAAAATTAGAAACACGTTTCTAATAAGATTTTTTCCGATGAATTTTTTTAGACAAAATATAAGACAAATTATAAAATGTAACAACCACCCTTTAGTTCGAGGATTAGAATATGTACTTAATCATCCGATTTATTATATTTGTACTTTATAACTTAGTTAACTCTCGTATCAACAGCAAATTAATCGAAAAATAAAGATAGTTTGTGAGAATTAAACACATGGTTCCGAATCATTATGCATACTTCTCAAAAATCAAAATTTTTAATTAATGTAGGATCAATATCACTATTTCTGTTAATCGAATTCCAAAATAGATGATTGACTCATTATATACTACAAGTAATTGCCGAATATCTTTGGATAACATGGATTCTTCTATCTTAGTAATGTTCTACAATTAAGAAAATTAGTTACTCGTGAATCCATTTCATAGAAGTTCATTAAAATCCTTTTGTGTAAAGCACATTGACTTTGATAATCGCTCAGTAAAGATTGCTTGCAACATAATGATATGAGTTTGGCTACAAGTCATTTGCCTATTAAAGAGATACTCAGAGCACAGCCTCACTACTGTCACAGGGCACCCAATAATAATATTTGATCATGTATGAAGTTTTCTTCTTCTATAAGATTAATTAGAGGTACAGCCCCATGTAAATTTTATACAAATATGAGATCATATGCACTAGAAAAGATGTACAAGATCAAACTACTAACATATAAATAGGTGTTTCAAGAGTCAGGGTGGGCAAGTGGCAAGTGCCCCTCCTAGTCCATAAGAAACTTGAGCTTAGAAAACCCGACTTACAAGGTCTAGATGTTATTCGGTTTTATGAGAAAAATGAAGATATCCTCTAGCAATTGACTTAATTGTTGCTAGATTACTTACCTCGAATTCATGACAGCTACTCCAACATTGAATGAATGGAAAAAAAACAATAAGAGAATGAATACACACACACACACATATATATATAAAGAGAGAGAGAGAGAGAGAGAGAGAGAGAGAGGCAAAAAAGGGTTGCTAAGTATGTTGGTTTTGATTATGGTGGCATATAGCCTATGAAAGATTAAATGATACCTGTGAAAAAATAGTTGAATACTATTATCGATGCAAAAGAATCTACACGAAGCACAAGTGCAATAGAATTAAAAATGATAATTCTTCACTAACTTAAAAAGAAATAGAAGAAGAACTATATTAAAGCTTTACTTTACAATGAATTAAAGGTTTGAATTGACATTAATCTACAACTCATAACCTAAAAGTAGCAATAATAACACTCTTGCTCACCAGCACCACATAGCACCTTTACAAAAGTATTATTGCCCCATTATGCCTATAGGGAGTGTGGAATCTTTAAGCTTCACTTGCTCTTTCAGCTACCTTTCTTATTTTATTTGTTTCAATGCACTTGTTTCCATGCACATCTCTATCTTTCATTTTGAGTTTTGCTTTGGAGGAAATGTGAAGGAAATTTCACAAAAACATGGTGTGAGAAAAGTAGGAACTATAAAGCAAAAGATCACCGAAAGCAAAGCAATTTACCAGAGAAGGTTGGAGAGAGGAAACACAATGAAAATGCCTTCAACTTGTAGTTTATTTACGACCTGTAATGTAAGGAAAACCATAGTAAGATTTGCTTTAAGATTTCAATGGTGACACAAAAAAAAGTTATGGTCAATGTATCAAGCTTTTTGCCTACAGCATAATATTCAAAAAGTGAAGTTGTGGACATTCTTGCTTCATTTAAATAGAATGATTCAATTGTATACAAGATACAAATATTATCGAAAATAACTTAACGTAAAAGAGAAGGGGCATACCTTTCCTATCCATCATTTTACTTAAAGCAGAGAGGAAAACAATGAGCACTGCAACAGCAGCTACGAGTCCAACAATTATTGCGAGCGTCTTCTCAACTTCATTATCATTAGAATCTGCAATTGAAATGTTCAAAAATTATATGACTTTTCGTTTATATTTGAGCTATTCCATTCTCCTACTATCGTTTTGATGAATTCACACACCAAGGGAACAAAAAAACTACTAGAAAATGAGGTAGTGTTCTCTCTTATGTGTTTTTCTTCATCATCTCATTTTCTTTTCAGAAAAATGCATGCCTTAGGTCACCTTTTGTTCTAGTCTAGATAGCCTACATTTTTAATTTCCTTTAGTCTTATACATTACCTTCATCTCAATTCGACAACCACCCCATTCTATGAAAACCAATAGGCTTAGTTGATAAACATGGTTCAAATTCTTTGAATAAATTTCAGGGTGCCATCAATAGGCTTGGCCGACAAACTTGTTTGCTTGGTTGTAAGCACACAAAAAAAAAAAAAAAATGGAACAGTTCTTTATTATGAAACTTTTCTTTTTTGAAATTGAAAATGTACTAAAATACCAAGTGGTCAACCTTGAGGTGCTTGAGAAAATTTCAACTTTTTAAACACCAACCTGCCTAGGATTCTCTATGGCTTTTTCTCAAAGGGAACCGATAACTAATAGTAAAGTTCTTTAAAGGTGTTTTTTCTTGTTCATTCTCTGAAAAAAAAAATAGTTCAAATACCATATGGTCAAACTTGAGATGCTTTAAACAACTGTCTTTACTTATAGGGCATTATACGAGATGAACACAATGTTTATATTGAAAACTTCATCACACAAATATCAAATGTTCTTCATTACTTGAATCATTGATCAGAAGTACTCAACTTTAATTCAATCCACTGTATCACTATTATAAAAAGCCATTTATTATTAACTTTTCTTGCTTTTGCACACCCATGTCCTATGTGGGATTTCAAACTTTACATCATTGGAGCTAACAGCAAGTGATCCATCAATGTTGCTCCCAAACTTAAGAAAAAAGCAAATCATAGCACCTAAAAGTGTAACTTAGGGAGGCCGCCGGAGAGGGGATTAGCAATTCAAACGCATCACTAAACCCTCACCTAACTATTTGAGACCGACTACAGAAATCCCATTTATCATTGTAGTTTAGCAACTGATATATTCTTTTCTTATACTTTTCTATCATCGAACTCTTTGCATCAAAAAAAAAATAATAAGGATAACATAGTAGAGCAAATGAAATTAGTGTCGAAGAGAAGAGAATAATATTGTCATATTTGTACGTAGAACGTACCACTAAATCAAACATGGGTTTAGTACATCAACCATACTGTCACACGAAGAAATCGAGGAGAAAAAGTACAAGAAATTTAACAAACCTAATAGAATATTTTGAACTTAGGAAAATCACCATGCAAATTACTTAGAATTAGCAAACTTTAATTTACATTTAACAAGGGGGTGAGAGGCAAATTCAAATTCATCCAAGGACCTTCGAGCAAATTTCAATAAATTTCCACAAATAACCAAAGAAACACAAAACTACAACCTATATACCCCCACACACGGTGGTGGTGGTGGTGAAACTGCTTACCGCTTTTCGAGGTAGAGCCACTCTCCGAGTACCGCGTGTAACACTTGGCCAAGTACATATCACCCCAAGCCGAGGACCCACACTCGCTTTTCAACAGTCCGGTCGCCTCTGATAGACAGTCCTGGCACTCGCTCAGACTCAAATCCTGTACGCACTGCGCCATACCCTGGACTTTCCCGGACCCACCAACTCGAAAATACTGCCCGCCAGCCGTAAGATATGCCAGAACAGCATCGTGACGAGTCAACGCGTCAGTGTCATACCCAATCGACGGCCCACATTTCTTCAACACCACAGCCTTGTCCTCTACCCCCAAAAACGATGTATTGTCATACTTAATAAAGCAACCTTCTAACTGTAACGCGCCACCGGACGTGCCAACACAGAGCGTTCCGAGTTGACTCACCGCTCGAGCCACGCAGTTTCTACAGTCTGAGTTACTCATGTCGCCGCGGCATTGAAAGAGGCCGTAGACGATGTCGCTTTGGGTCGAGCCGGGGAGGGAAATCTTGAAGTTGTTGAAGTTTGAGATGGAGGCTGAGTTAACCAGGGAGGTGAGTACCGAGTTGACGTTGGACTCGTAGGGTGTCCCTGGGTTGTATTTTAGCTGAGAGCAGCCACCATACACAAAGGATTCTGTTGCAGAAGTTGCAGGGTGCGTGAGGAAGGAGAAGGGTAGGAGGTAAACGATGAGAGAAGAGAGAGAAAAGAATTGAATCAACATTGTTTGTATGCTCTTGCTAGAGGAGAGAGAGAGAGAGAGATTTATGGGTATTGGAAAACAGAAAAGGTTTGGTTCGAGCTACAGATACAGAAAATATGTGATCATGTATATGAATGACAGAGCTAGACTTAGAAGAGCGTGAGAACTGTGAAAGTGGAAGAGAGGAAGGTTGCTTGATGGGAGAGTTTCCGTGAGTCAGTGAGTGAACTTGAGTTGTATGTATGATCGTTTGGCATGTGCCAGGAAGATGACTATGGAGTATGAAGCATCTAAGGAGAGAGAAATAGAAAAAGCTATACTGTCAAGTGGTTTGGTGGTGTGGCTCCATAGACGTGGGTATGACTGGCAATTCTTAACCCGACATTTTAATCACATAGAAATAGCTTTTGCACCTAATTTAACCCAATAAGTTTACGACTAATGGTATTGAGATTTAATTTATTGTGATTTTTAGATTGATTGTAAGTCCTATCAAATATTAAAATTTAGTGTTGATCTAATAATTTTTATGAACCTACATAATTATGTCAATAAATTAAGTTAAAATTTTAAATCATAATAACATTAATCTAAGTTAAGGAAAATGCTAATTGTCCGTAATTTAGTCATTGTATTTTGTGACACATAAATTATAGTCATTGAATTAATAATGGATTTCAATCCACTATCAATTTAATAGTATTGAATGATAAGATTGCAAAATAAGGTCATTAAATAAAGTTCGTGTAACATTGTTCATATGTTAATCACATAAAAATAGTATTTGCACCAAATTTAAAGATTTAATGAGAGAACTTAATTAATTATGAGTAATACTATTGAGACCTAATTTATTAACGTAATTTGATTATATGATTCACTATGACATTTAGATTGACTGTGAATCCTATTAAACATTAGAAGTTGGAGTTGATCTAATAGTTTCAATGAAACCATATCAATAGGTCAGACTTTTAAGTCTAAATAGCATTACTCATTAATCATACAACAATGCCATATAAATTTAATTTAAAGACTTAATCCATTGCCATTAAACTAGTTGTGAGTTTCAATATTACATGGAGTTCGCTTCTAATCTAATAATCGAATTATGTATCTAAAATAAATCTACAAATTAAGTCTAAATAACACTTTCCTTAATTATATATGTTGGTTATATAGATCTTTGAATTAGATATTCAAATTAGGCCCTCTATACCATTACTCTAACATGGTATGTATTTAAGAAATTTTATTTATACCAAATAAATGGACCTAATTCATTATAATTGTTGGATGATAAATGGATTACATCCGATATTTGCCAATCTAATGATTACAACAATTTAGGTACTCAAATTATCTTTAAGTATTGCTCAAAATTTAGTAGATGTGTGTCTAGTCCCTTGGAGTTGTAGTTTTAAATGACTTGACCTGATATGTTTAATATATAAGTCAATAAAAAATTTAGACACATATTATATAAATCCAATTATATACGACTATGAATATGTGAGGCATAGAGGGGATATATTTTTATACGCCACTACTTTCATGACTTAATCATATGCCTTGTAAACATTATATGATAGGAGGCTATTGACAACTAAGTCATGTATATCCCCTTGTTGAATACTGTTTTTTTGTGGAAAAATATGTTAAAAGCATACCAAAGTTTGATGCAATTTCTAACATATTCTTAAGTCAATGAACTAATGAGTATTAAAAATATTTTGGAACAGAATAGTTGGTAAAGATTAGTTAGAAATCACTACAAATCTTAGTGAATTATTGAAACCCTTAACTTTTCATGGGACCCATCAAACCGTGTTGTTTTTGACGGTGCTCAAAAATATTCAGCCCAAGTCCACACATCACTGATTTAAAGAATGGGAAAGGGCTAATATAAATTTTCCAAGCTAACAGATAAAATATACGAGATTAAGACAATATATAAGTAGTTCACCTTAGTCAAAAGACCAGAGTTACGTTTACTGTAATAGAGACTCTTGCTCCGAAAGATTTATATTACTTGAAGAAGAAGATTACAGTGGGCTTTTTAGTTTTAGAGTTTTTCTGAACAATGCCTTGCGAGTAGAGATTTTTCAGATATCTTTTACACAGTGTGATGATATTCTATTTATACAAGGGATTATCTAGGGTTTTCTACGATCTTATTCTTCTTTCGACTAATTCTATGGTCCCCTCTTTTTTGTCTTGTAATGGTGACTGTTACCTTGACACTAGCCATATCTATGGTTCTTCAATAGAATGTGTACATATATTCCCTTTACTAGTAAGTACGCGTTCGTTAGAGGCTCCAGAAATTGTTCTCTGGACATGTGGCGCGATATGGGATATTCGAGTTCTGGTGAATACTGAGCTCCTTCCTCCTACGCTGCTTTCCGTTGAGTTTGTTGTGATTGATCTCGAGCTAGATTCTTTGCTAGACTCCCTCTTTTGGATTATGACGCATTCTTTATTGCGGAGTAGATGGGTTGTGGATGGGACTCTTGGTCCGTCATGCAACTGTTGAGCCCATTAGATGTTTTGAATTTAGGATAAACAGCTCAGTCTAAAATTCTACCATTATCGGTTATTATTTTTAGTAATATTCTAACAACCATTTGTAGTAATATTCTAACAACCAAGTGATAGAAGAATCTCTGCTCCAGATGATTCTGCTTGTAGCTTTCCCTTGGGGAAGATTTGGAGTGTAGATTGTGGGTTTGCTGATTTTTCAGCTGACACATCCAAATCAGTGGATCCGTCTAAGTTTTGGCCCTATAGAGTTATGCTGACCGTTTGATCAGCACCGTACGGTCTAAATTGATTCTAATCGTGTAGTGGCAGATGTTGTCAATTTTTTTAGAAAAGTCAAATTTATGATGATCAGATGAAAACTAAATACTATAAGGAATTAAGATAGTGATTTTAGAAAAAAAATTGTAGAATTGTATTCATGTAAGATATAGAATGTGTTATATCATATCTTATTATATTACCCTATGATAAATTACAAAGTGCATTAGAAATTCTAATGTGATTACGTTTATTGTATTCAACTTAGATTCATTTGCTAGCGTATCTATACTTCCACGGAACGTAAATCAGATTAACATGACACAATTGTCACACATTCTTCTAAGTTTTGCACGATTGACTTCTTAAGTCTTCATTCCAAGTCTTTTTTTATTTTTTCTTTTTGTTCTTGCTGGTCAGAAGTCTTTATTCTGAGTCTTCATTACAATTTTTAAGTATTGTATGTTTGTCTGATTGTAAGACTGACTAGGTAAACTCCTTAAAACACGCCCTGTTTTCACTCTCTCTCTCTCTCTCTTTGTGGAGGAGGAAGATAGGGATGTTCCATCACATAAAAAGGGAAAGAGATGGAACAAGGAAGGAAGGTCTCATGCATTCAATAATGTACGTCTTCATTATAAGTAAAGAGCAATGAGGTTTTGTCTGTGTTTTGATGTAACCACAAACATGGATAGCTTCTAGCTAGATTACCATCCGACCAAATCATTGTCATTTTGCTCCCAAGATAAGGTCTCCCACGAGCACCCCCATAGCTCCATGTTTCTACAGTTTTCTTTATTGATTATGAGACCCCAATGCATTTGGACCTTCCGAAACTCGTGAACGTTTTGCTGGTTTTGTTGTTGAGAAAATCATATTGTGGCTTTCTATTATTATTTATGAGCATAGACTTTTTCATATTGTACTAATGTAGTTGTTTTGATTTCTAATGCTGTGATTGTATTATCCAACTAACAATCGTGAGGTTGTGGGTTTGAAGTTTACGACGACGACTTTGCTAAAATAATGTTAAGAGTTGGGTATGTACTCAATTGCTCCTCCCAATAACCATGATTAATAGAAGCCATGTCACTACGTCAAATTTTATTGGTTTAATCTTAATTTATATCCTAAAAAATTAATTAAATTTTAATTTATACCCTTAAAGTTTAAAAATATTAATTTACATCCTTAAAATTTAAAATTATTAATTTACACCTTGAAATACATAAAATTGTATTAATGTACACCTGGAGCTAACTATTGTCTATTTTGCCATTAAAAAAGTTTGGATTAATTATAAATTGTACCCCCAAAGTTTAAATATTTTCCATTTATGGTCCAAAAAGAATTATATCCATTAATGCTCGTTAAATAACTCTCAAGTGTGTCGTATCGTGTCTAACTTTAAACAGAAAATAACTATTTAATGAGTATTATAGACAAAAAATAGGTATTTTAATTTTTTAAAAAATAGTATTATATGAATTATAATAAATGTGAAATATATGACACAATACAATTGACTCAACAAGAAAATAATTAGTATTAATGAGATGTATTTAACGAATATTAATGGATAAAATTTTTTTGGGGTCATAAATGTAAAATATTTAAATTTGAAGGTGCAATTTACAATTAGTCTAAAATTTTTTAACGACAGTTAACCCCCGGTACACATTGATATAAAATTATATCTTTTAGGGTATAATTTGATATTTTTAAACTTTAAGGGTGAAAATTAAAATTTGAATCATCTTTCGGGGCAATTTGAGATTAGCCCAATTATTTTTACAATCTATATACTAGTCCATTAAAATAAAAATAAAAACCCAACTAAAAATTTCAATTGATCTGAATTAGTCACTTAAGCTAAATTTTACCAAATTACATCTTAATTTAATCTCAAATAATTAACTCAATTTCAGCACATTTTTTGAATTTAATAACTAGTTCTGGACTAGAGTGGATCAGCCCAATTGAAGCAACTCTGATGGGACTATGGGCCTATGGTCTGCCTCAGGTTTTCAATATTACTCTATATACCCTTAAGTTTTTTTAAAATTCTATACCTCCTCTAAGTGTTTCGAAAAATCCGCATTCAACAAGTTTAATGGCAAACTTTTAATAACCAAATTAGGAACAATGATTAAATAGATGGGCGTTGTTTTCACAGACGAAGACAATCACTTGGATGGTTTGATCACCAAAAAATAAAAGGAAAATTGGAACAAAATCGAATTGTAAACATGAGTTATACAATAAATAATACACTGACTCTTGACTAACTTTTGCGATGATATTCCGAGACTAACATGTATGATAGTATATAATTTGTAGTCGTTAGGTCATGTCAGAAATGAGAAAAAAAAATGGATCATGATAGTGTCACATATTAAATTTTAAGTTTATAAGTAAAAATAAATTTTTAGATTTTATAACCTAAACTAATTTATAATTGAAAATATTGCCCCCTTTACTTAGCTCAATATGGATCATCTTCAAACTTAAGCTCAGGGTGCAACTTGGGGTATTTATTGGCCTTCTTCATGACCGAACCAATCCCAATGTTTTTAAAGTACTACTAACTACTAATTATCATTGAAGGATGAAATACCACTGAGCCCGGTAGTCTAGTGGCAAAATAGTTTTTCGTAAAGATCATCGCAATAATAATCATTCAGGTTTAATTGAAGGGAGAGTAGATTGCTGACTTGTTTCTAACGGGTTAATGGGTTAAGGTCAAGCTATGACTCTAATTGTCTTTAGAGAGTGCCTGTGAAGCTCACTGGCTAGACCCCTCCAAAGGACTACTTCAACGGGTTTGGATTGTTATGGTCACGCCTAGGTAGGATTTCCACACCGGTCACTCCCTCGAAAACTTTTTCTCCTAGCAAAAAAAAAAGGTTGAAATAAAAAAAAAAAAAAGAAGTATAAAGTGACTTCATTTTTGTCAAGTAACTTTTTCTTAATTTTAAAAACTACTAAAAGTAATCTATTTTATCTTCTATTTTAATGTGGGCTAACTATGTACCTAAAATTGTAGATCCTTTTAAAAAATGTGGGGCCTAAGTTTAGGCTTTATTATTGGGTCGGCCTCGACTCCATTAAACTCCCTAACACAAAGCTACTAAATCCACCACATTCTATATATACTCTATTACAAACTAAGTCTATATCTACTCATGAACATGCTAGATGTACCACTCCGACCATCTCATATATGTCTAATACAAACTATTCTCATCCTTGTATCACCCTCCTGTAATAGTTCCTATTGTTGATCTTCTGTTGTTGTTAAATAGATGAACTTGTGTTAGCTTATATGTTGTTTGGAACAGCCCATGGGGGGTTAATATAACTTTTGGTCTTTAAAATATGTATTTGTTATCAGTTTAGTTGTAATTATATCAATTTGGCCCATAAATTATTCAATCCGTATCACTTTGGTCTCTACACAGATAGACCGTTTAGTTTTGACGGAATGATTATGTGTTAGACACGTGATATTGTTTAATAAAATGACACTGGTCACTTTCGTAAAAAAACACTTGACGGATTATCTAATTAGGAACCAAAGTGACACAAATTGAATACTTTAGACGCCAAATTAACCAAATTGATACAATGAGAAATAAACTAACAAAAATGCATACTTTAAGGACTAAAAGTGATATTAACCTTTATTTTATTTTTTTGAACTGCATAACTTATAGCTTAACTAACTGAAAAATCACTGTGTTAGCCAGCAATAGAGACCTGAGTATGGTTTATGCATGTAAAAGAAGAGAAATTTTAATAAAATAAAATGCACACTGATCCATGCATTGTATAGGGCATGCTGAGAGAGCAATAGGGGCTACTCCCAAATTAATTTGGGCAGTATTTCACGGCTAGCCCGTGGATCCTCACATTGTATATATAATTATACTAGACGTAATTCGTACCTGAAAATATGGTATAATATAAGTGAGAAATGATAAATTTGATGGGAGAAATTCAAAGTGAATGATTTTGTGAGGGATATCAGTGACCGTCGGATAAGTCTATTTGAAACTGTTGTATAAATTTATTGAAATCTGCTCTGTTTTATATTATAAATATATACATAAAGAGAATACTCTTCAATGATAATTAGAGGTTTATAGCTAAAAATTTGATATAAAATGTGATGGACATAGAAATACATGGGGTGAATATAGAATAAGATAGACTTAGTATTTTTATATTAAAGAGGTTAACATGTGGGGATCAATATTTTTTGGATGGGAATAATCTCATTTAAAGGTGGTAATTTTCACCCATTACCCATTAACCAGCCAAATCTGCCTATAAAATAATGTGTTAGGGACCTATATTAATTAGTACGAATTATAAATATTTTGAGTAATAGCACTCAATTTAATTAAATGAGTTAAAACAAATTACAAATGAGTACTCATTAAGTTGTTACTTGTCTTTTTATTAAATAACAAAAATAATAAATCCAAATATACACACAAACTATTACACTAAAACACCCCCCCCCCCCAAAAAAAAAAAAAAAAACACATACACACGAACGCACTCTTATATACACAAAACACACCAAAATAAAAATATATATATATATATATTAATACACCAAAATAAATACACATACTAATACATCACATGTTAGGATCTAGTTTCGAGGTGGTGTCCGAGGCCTGGATTTGGGTCGAGTTCTGCTCTGGGGTCAGGTTTGGGTCCAAGTCTAGTGTTGGGTCTAGGTGTAGGGTCAGGTCCAGGTTTAGGGTTGGGCTCAAGGTCGTGTCTGACTCCATAGTGAGGTCCATGTCTGGGTCTTGGCTTAGGTTCCAGTCTGGGTCCAGTATTAGGTTGGTCTGAAGGCCTAAGTCTCTGTATGGGTCCGATGTTAACTCACATCTCACTTTGACTCTATTTCGACGTCTTCAAGTTGTTCCAAGCAAGTTGCCAAAACCGTTTTACAATCCAGAAAGGAATGGTGGTGACATGTTATAAAATTCTAATGCACATTAATATTCTTTTTACATGACAATCCAAGTGAACCACGAAAAAAGAATAGCATTTGCAACCACTTCCTCTTTATAAAAATTTCTCCTCGGTCTATAATCTCGGTCAGGAATAAAAGTATTTTATAGATATAATAGAAAAAGAATAGAACTTGTTTCCAAAACCTACCGAACCGTACCAAAACACAAAAAAAATACAAGAAACCTCAAAATATGTATTTTGGTACATTTCAATCCAGTCTTTTTAAGTTCCATGAAAATCCAAACGTTTCAGTGGAAATAGACTGAAATTTTTATCCTTCCACAGATGCAAGTTGCAAGTAAATAGCTAAATGCAACGGCTGCAATCATACCAAATATGCCCTTTTTTTTTACAATGGAGGAGTGACACTGCATCAGAAATTAATATCGCAGCATAAGTTCCCACTGTTTCTTCCAGATATAGTTCTACAAGTATCTAAAAACAAACTATGAAACATATAAAAGTATGGATTCCATTATTGCAAATTAAGGTATTTACGCATGCTTCCCGGATGAAGCTTTCTCCTTTGCCATCTTTTCGAACAGGCTTCCATCATAAACGCCTCGAATCGTATCTTTGTGCAGTAAACCATTCTTGTCCTTGCAAAGAATATATAAGATCTTCCATTCTGTATAGCTTGCAAGCCTGCTTAGTACAAAGTATCAGCATGTTAAATAGATTTGAATGAAAATCAACCATCATTGTACAGTAGAGTTTTCGAATTGATAAAGAACAGACCATCCAGCAAAGTCCTTAGGAACCCTATTCGCCTTGAGCATTGCCATCAGTTCGTCTGAGGTTAAGAAATTTGAATTGGTGTGGGCATGGTTACTGAAAATCTCCTCAAACTTTGAAGGAACAAACCTTCAGAAAAATGTAGAGAGAAATGAAATTAAAATTTAATATAAGAGGCTAAGTATGTTTAAAGAATCTTTGGTCCAAACGAAGAATAAAGGATTATTGCTATTTTCTACATGTAGAAACAATATCTCATAGATTAGACTAAACGGCAGAGCATAATGTTGGTTTCAGTTTAAAAAAAAAAAAATCGTATCAAGTACATGAGGCTCCCAGTATTACGAGGTCTGGATGAGAATTAGATGTGCACAACCTTACCCCTGTAAGTAGAAAGACTATTTTCGCGACTCAAATCCATGACTTCCAAATCACAATGAACCCATTGCACCAAAGTCTGCCCTCCATTGTGACCTAGAGGTTATGACATGGGTTCGAGTCGCAGAAATAATCTCTTTGCTTGCAGGAGTAAAGCTACATACATTTAATCCTCTCCAAATCCCACCATATCGAGATTCTCATGCACTGCCCTTTTTAGTGCAGGCAATAATAATCAAGTGTTTCTTTAGTTCAGATAAAGTAACTTAATCATCTAATGTAACCTTCATCTTCTATTTGACACAACTCTTTCTTGTTGGCATCATTGCCAGTTTTCACATTAACATAGTCAAAGCGAACGTCATGCGAAATGAAATACATTCCAGGGCCCAATACTCACAGAACAGAGAACAAAACCATGTGAGGCGACCACTTTAAAGTAATTGATTCTTATTTTCACAAGCAGGCATATTCTGTCCCCTTTGCACAGGTTTGGCTTGCATAGATGGGGAATATTTGCAAAAAAATAAAATAATAATAAATATAAAAACACCAGATATACCTTCCTTCTGTGTCATAGACACCAGAGTCACTTCCATGCTTGGCTTTGTGGATGTTCTTAACTTCTATTGGAAAGAGAAGAGAAGGGAATTTTCCCTACAGCATTCAGACAAAATATGACATTAGTTACCTACAATTTGCATCATATATATAGTATACACGTCACAGACAGAAGTAGTCTCTCTGCATATGAGTAAAACTGCATATATTTAACTCTCTCTAGAACTTGAGTGGGGGATTCTCATGCACTAGACTGTTTTTTATGTAGTAATAGATGCATATAACCACTAAACTTTTCTGCTGGAAAACATGGACAATACATAAGCCAGCAAAATAAAAGACAACAACAAAACTAACAGGCAGCTGAAGCCATCATTAGTATCAGAATGAGCGTAAAGAACTCATTTTACTAGGTTGCAATTTACCCAGCTAGTTCCTTTTCATTTAGGTTATGAGTTTTCTTCGGCATACACGTCAAGATTAGGATAGTTTATTGATAAAAAATAAAGTGTCCTAGAGCAATCAAAAATAGGACAAAGAGATCATTTAGGTCATTACCACTAGATATGTTTATGACGAGGTTATTTTGTTTATTGATGAAAGATGCAACTGCATAGGTTCAAACTCATTATTTTAGAACCAGCAAAAGCCAGCAGATTCATGTTCAAGCCCACCAGGGTAGCATCTAATGTACTCTTTTTCGGTTAATGAAATTACGTAGTTACTGGACAAAAAAAAGTTAGGTCTCTACATATACCGATCTGAGCATTTTTCTGTTTTATTTTTCGGCAGCAAACGGTTGTTTAAGAAGGGATGGTTTAATTAGGAAATAAGAAATAAAGAATCTTGCATATTCATGTTATCACCACATAAACGTAGTGACTCCTAGCAACTCAGCTGTCGTACTCTTCATCCATTATTAATTGGGTTCATGTAATTTTCGACATAGACAACAATGTTAATGGGCAATACCCTTTGGCAACGATGAGGACAACATTTCATTATGAAAAAGGCAAACGTGAGAAAATGATAGACAGATCATTTCACACTATGGACTACGGAACTCTAAACCTACACATGTACCTCCACGCAACTATACAACCTTCGTAACTCCTACCAAGTACTTGTTAGAACATTGATTATTACTTCTTTATACTTGACTTTTTCAACACTCAAAGATCAAATCAACTATGAAAATGAACCAAATTATTATATACTAATATAAACCAAGAAAAGGAAAGATAGGCAAAGACTCATACAGGCAAGTGTCTTTTTTTTTTTTTTTTTTGCTGGTTGTACAGGCAAGTGTCTACAAACCCATATTATAAGCAAAGAATAGAATAATGACCAAGACAGGCGATGCACTGGATTTTTAATCTTTTCCCTTCCGCCTCTCTTTAAGATTTGGATACCGAACTATATAAAACTATGGGATGATCTTACTAACTTAACAAGCAAAAAAGATATAGATATAAATGTGTGTGTGTGAGAGAGAGAGAGAGAGAGAGAGAAATCACAGGTCTAGTTTTGCGACTGAGACCAAGATTGATGAAAATGGCAGCGGTGGTGGACAAGAGAATGCCACAACCAATTGCACGAAAACCTGATTAATTGACAAAAAGACAAAAAAAATTGATAAACCCAACAACAATCCGACCAAGAATATCAAACGAAAAATTCGTAATGTGTAGTTCATTTAAACCAGAAAACAAAAAGAAAAAAGGAAGACCTTGAAAGGTTTCCCAAGGGTAAACAATTCCATCGTTGTTCCGATCAAAGAACATAACATGCTTTTGGAGGACGTTTTGATCGGTATCCACTCCTGCATGCAGATTTTTTCATACCCATATTAGATCACAATCTTTTCAAGAACTGCATCATAAATACTCATATATGTGTAGCCCAGAAATTCAGAAGATAAATCTTATACCCTCATATTGGATGCTGGTTGCAGATGAACGCATGGTTGTGCACTATGTTTGCCAAAATGGGTGCAGAATATACAGACAAAAAGTTGGAGAGAGAGAGAGAGAGAGAGAGAGAGAGAGAAATAATGGGCTCTTATAGAGGAGCCTTGTGGAGTGTGTGGTTGGGTATTGCAATGGTGGGAATTGGGTAGTGACTTGAGAGGATGGAAAATTCATACCTTTTGGGTTCATTTTTTTTTCGGAAGTATACCTTCAGGGGTCATATGGTGTTTCCGTGTGTGAGAGAGAGAGAGAAAGGAGGGGAGGGGGGCGAACCAAACAGGCATACAGTGATTCCAAAGCAACACCATAACAAGCATACAGAATAAAGGTGCATCTGCATCCCAAAATGGTGGAACAACTAACAACTATGTGACTTTACTTGGGGTCCACGTAGGTTTTTGAGATGTGTTCACATTGAATTTACATCATCTTAATTTAATTTGTTTTTTTTTCAATTTTCACCGGTTCAATCATCCACCGTTAATGGTGAAGTTAGAATTTTTTTCAACACGATTTGTCACTGTTATACAAAATCAAGCAAAAAATCAAATTATACGCGATATGATTCCACCTAAAGATATCTCTTAAAGACACATTTAGTTCCAATATTAGGGGATGGGATCAATTAAATTAGTGTAATGGTAATTTATTATTATGTTTAGATCGAGAGATCTCGATTCTCTACCGTTAATTCTTTAAAACGACATCGTTTTATATTAAAACGATATCATTTTATTGAATTAGAACAACCAACTTCTTTATCCTTTTTCTCACCTACGAAGCAATGAACAGTATTTTTTTTCACAAACCCTAATTTGCGGATTGTTATTAGATAGATTAACACTTAATTATTAAATTTCTGGATTTTCAAAATTCAAAAATAAAAAAAAAATATATATATATATATATATATAATACAGAAGCCTCACCTTTAACAACCAAGTTACACCTAACATACTTCCACGTTTCAGATTTTGATTGGTTTATAGAAAGCACAATTACTTTACTTACCAAACATTTGCCGCTCATTTCTTTTTGTTGGATGCCTACATATTTTTGCCACTCATTTTTATCAAAAGTTAAATCATTTATTTTTTGATTAATTGTGGCATTGTTCATATATTATAATTTACACATATTGATATTTTATTTAAGGTCATATATTTTGAAAAAAAATTGTCAATTTTTTTATAAAATAATGAATAGAAATTAATATCAAATCATGTAATTAAAAAAAGGAAGGAAAAATTATTATTTAATATAATGACATTACTTTTTTTTGTGACTGAATTTTATGTTGTATCATACCTTCAGGTATAAGTAAATGCTAATAAGTAAATAATCCGCATAAACTCCTATTTTAATCATGAGAACAATGAAATTAATTATACTTGATGGGACACTTTCCCAGTAGATGGCAACACTTGTCCTCGATGCCAAGGGTGTAATGAAGACACGTGTCCTCGGCACCGAGGACATGTCTTTGCTTTGAAAAAGACACGTTTCCTTGGCTCCGAAGGCGTGTGTCACTCTGCCACCAAGTACTTGTGCTCGGCGTCAGGGTGCTCTCTCCCTCTCTCTATGACAGACATGTGTCCTCGACTCCAAGGGTACCTCCACTCCGAGAGAGTCAAGTGTCCTCGGATCTGAGGGTACTCACTGAAACTTTGATCTTGCCATGAGTCTTCGACTTCTGGAGAGGCTACTGATTGACAGTTGAATAGTCTAAACTAGACTAGGAATTATGAGAGCACTCTACACAATGAAGTCAGGATAGCAGGACGAACTGGACACTCAACCAGGGGGAGTCAGATGCGTGACATAAAGTACAGGATAAGGGGTAAATATATAAAACTACCCCAATTGACTTACAGCTATCCCAAATAAACATTTAATGCATCCTCAGTGATGGGACATCTACAGTAGCTTGAGAAGCCGATGATATGGAGTATTAAATACCCTGGGCTCCAAACATATAAGACATTTACATTGAAGAGAGAACATTAAATACTCAGGAGCCCGAGCAATCAATAACGGGGTTTTCCCCATGCAAAATAGGGGGCATACTGCCCTATGTTTGGGTACTACCTACTGACTAGACTACCAGTAATGATGAGCCTTTGGATGTATAAATAGTTGTCCAAAATATGAAGTAAAGGTATGCAAAATCATCTCTCAAGAACTATATAGTAAAGGTATGCAAAATCATCTTTCAAAAACTATACAATGCTTTCTTCTTCCCCTCTCTCAAAGAATTGACTTGATCGTCGGAGGAGATACATCGAAAAACACTTTGGCGCCCCCCATTTTCTGTGTGACAAGAACTGCCCATAACTTGCCTGAATTGATCGAGCAACCCCTGGAGCAATTCATCACCACTCCTTAGGCTCCCTTTGGCCCTCTCAACTCGTTCCTCGCAACGGGATCCACCACCTTCTCAAAGAACACGAGTTCATCAGGGGAGAGATCTGTTTCCATTTTCATCTATTGTGCAAAAATTATCGTGCACAATTCGGTGTCATCTATGAAAAATACTAGATTTTCTGAAGAACAGTGACCATGGTGAATACTTGCCAACAGGGAAAAGGTCCTCAACAAAGGAATATCGATTTACCAACTCCTTTTATTTCGCGAATGGAGGACCATGTCGAAAGTGTCAACAAGGGGCATTTTGTTCACTCAAGAGAGCATACCCGCCAAACTAGTATGGGTATCGGGTTTGGAAGATCCGCCCCGCTAGCCCGACAATTGGCTGAGGAAATCAAGGAAAAATTCAGAGATCGATTATGGCAGTTAGAAGAGAACAACGTGAACGTTCTAAATCGGCTCTATAAATTCGCATCTTCTAGTGGTGGATTTCAAGACCTGCCACGGTCTAGGTAACCCTCCGTCAAGGTGGTAAGACTTGAGGATCTGAGAAATCACCTAAGTATCAAAGTAGGAGGCTCTAAGGACCTAAAATGCTCGAGGGCCGATGGGCATCTCCCGGAGGTCCCAACTAAGAGGCCTAGGCTATTGGCTTGGAATGACCTCTATTGGGGACTGTCCGGGTAAGGGGGCGTGGAGGAATTTGAGGAGAGGTCGACCCTCTCTGTCTGACACCCAGGGACGAGGGATCATGTTGGCTGGAGCCGATAGTATGAAGGAATGCCCCCCGAAAAGGGGAGTCCTCAAAGCTCGATTGGACTCTAAAAGGAGAGATAAGGCCCCACAGGAAGATGACACCGACGATGAAGCCATCCAATCGCCTTTCACAAGGAATATTGTAGAGATGGAGGTACCGAAGAAGTTCACGGTACCGAGGTTCAAGATTTATGAAGGACGGACAGACCTGGAAACCCACCTCAGACAATACAAGCAAATGACGTCCCTGTACCACTCGAACCATCTACTACTATGCATAGTATTCTCAATAAGACTAGAAGACTCTGCTATGAAATGGTTTGAAACTCTTCCACCTGGCAGCACAGGGTCTTAGAATGAGCTGACCAGGCAATTCTCCGTCCGGTTCATCAAAGGGAGCAGACGACCCAAAGACATCGGATTACTATTAACCCTGAGGTGGAATGAAGGAGAAACCCTCCGCCAGTATGTCGTTCGCTATTGGGAGGAGGTAAACAAGGTGGAGGGATTTTCTGTGATCATGTCGGCTACCTCTTTTAGACTGAGCTTCTCTTGAGACGCCGATCTCTATCGATCCTTGACCAAGAAAACGCTGACCGATATGGGAGAACTAATGGTCCAGATAAATAAGTACTCCCAGATTGAGGATGAGATGGTGGGGGGCAAAAGGAAGACTCTGGCGCCAAAGAAGAAAGAAAAGGAGAAAGAGGGCACCCCTTCCCGAAAAGGGTTGATGTTTCCGTCAAGAAGTTCCTTCAAAGGAGTCCACACTGTGTTCAAAGAGCCTATTTACAAGTTGCTCCATAAGATTAAGAAGGAACCCTTCTTCAAATGGCCACCCAAGATGCAGGGTGATCTGTCCACCTGAAACCAGAGAGTGAAATACTTATACCACCAGGACTTTGGATACCTCACTGAAGATTATAGGGTCTACAAATCTTTCTTGAAAAAACTAGTGCAGGAAGGGCATTTAAAGAAAAACATCGAGGCAACACCAGAAGAGGCCCATAGAGCCAATAACTAGACTTTGGTCCAAGACAATGTAATCGACGTCATTCATGTTTGCCCGTTGGAGCATCCGATGTCCAAAACCCTCAAATCCAATTTGAAAAGAGTAGCGTTCATGAGGAAGGTGGATGAGATAGATGGGGACCGGCTGGGCAAGAGGCCTCGGACTAGCGAGGAAGACATCACTTTTTCCGACACCAATCTAGTAGGTGTGGTGCTCTCCCATGAGGATGCCTTGATCTTGACCTTGAAAATTGGCAACTTTGATGTCAAGAAGGTCTTGGTGGACTCCAGAAGTTCTTCTGAGGTAATGTACTTTAAAATCTTAAAGCACATCTTGGTACTCAAGACCTCACCAAAGTCAGCACGTCTCTTATTGGATTCAACAGCTCATATGCCTTGCCTCTGGGTAAGATCATGCTTCCAATTACCACCGGACCAACCAACATGGAGTTTATGGTGATTGACTCTGACTTGCCTTACAATATTATCATGGACCGGGCCTAGTTGCTTACCCTGGGGGCGGTGCATTCCACCTATCATAAAAAGTTAAAGTTTTCCACCTTGGAGGGAATGAAAGAGATCTATGGAAACCAAGCATCCACCAAGAATTATTTCTATTCTGTGGTAAGGGCAGGGGTTGTCTCCAAGGAAAAGGAGCGAGCCCTAGAGGAGGTCTTGAACAAATAGAAATTACAGACCGAACGACTCGGAGTGGATGAGCCACGGATTGATTCGGTAGATCGCTTAGAGGAGGATCTCCGGAAGGTACTTCTGGTGGAAGGAGATGAAGAAAAGTATTTCTTGGTCAGCTCCACCATGTCTCCAGCCGAGCAAGAATAGATGACAAATTTTCTGAAGAA